CTGGCTCCGCGTCCTCACCGTCACCTCCATCGCCCTCCCGGGTGACCCGCCCCCGGGGCCCCGCCGTTACCTAGGAAATACCAGAGCATCACCCCCACGGAGGCCAGCGCCACCAGCGCCAGCCACAGAGGTGCCAGGCGGAGGGAGTCCCGGACCTTCCTCTTGGAGTCCTCAGGGCCCTGGAACGTCCCCTCTGGCTCCGCGTCCTCACCGTCACCTCCATCGCCCTGGCCGCCCGCTGCCTGGGGGGCCTCGGCCACCGGCATCCTGAGGGGACAGAGCAGAGGTGGACACAGACTGGCATCCTCCAGGGAGCCCCAGCAGGGCATGCCCCTGCCTCCTGAGCGGGAGGGAAAGGACCCCAGGTTTCCCTGTGACCGTCACCCGAGGCGGGTGCTGGGCAGCTCGCGGGAGGGAGGCCAGCCTCAGAGGACAGTGGCACTGCGGGCCCGGGCCTGGCCCAGCCACCGATGGTCAGAGGGGAACCACGCGCTCCCTGCCTCCTGGTCCTGCGGCAGAGCCCCCCGAAACCCCGTGCAGGAGGGTCCCCGGAGCCCGAGCCAGCGCTGTGCTGGACGGGGACCCACCTCCTACAGGGAGCACCATCTCTGTCCCCTCACTCCCAGCCTCGGGGCCGAGGAAGGGAACAAAAGCCAGAAACCATCCAGTGTCCACAGGGGACATCGCCCGTCACCTCACTTAATCCTGGGGTCACCTTGGATATGGGACCGTGGTCCCCGTGTGCTCTCCCCCGACCAGGCCCACTCTGCATGGGCCTCTCACACAGAGGTTTCTCATTTAAACCTCCAAAGGACACTCAATATTCTGCACCCATTGTACAGATGAGGAAACTGACTCCCAGTGTCACCCGTCAACAGTTCAGTCCAGGGTTTTCTCATTGTGATTTTTTTTTTAATATTTATTTTTTAGTTCTCTGTGGACACAACATCTTTGTTGGTATGTGGTGCTGAGGATCGAACCCGGGCCTCACGCATGCCAGGCGAGTGCGCTACTGCTTGAGCCACATCCCCAGCCCCACATTGTGATTTGAATATCTGACATTTTGAAAAAAAAAGCCCAGAGAGGCTGAGCTCATGGCCCAAAGTCACACAGCAGGCAAGCAGGGGTTGAGCCCAGGTGTCCACCGCTCTGCTCCTTTCCCTACTCTGTAAACGAGCTGTTAATTAACGAATCATGATCCACAATGGTGCATGGCCCCTCGGTGCCCCAGGCTGCGGCTCTATCTATCTTCACAT